CCCAGTGGTGATGGGGCTTACACGGGCACCCTGCCCTCTGCCCTCAATCCTGAAGACTGAAGACTAACAACCGGTCATATGACTGAGATTGAAATCAAAGCGACCTAGCGTTGGTCAGTTTCATCGTTTGTGTTGCAATGTTATTATCGCAGTTTCTCCCTAGTGACTCATTATAGCACAGCGTTCCATAATACGCCAGTAAGTGGCTTTTGCATTGGATAATTAAGACATTTCAGCTTCCTAAACCACCGGCCATTTGACCAGGATCGCCCTGTAGTGGATTGCCTTGCTAGTCCATCACCGTTTCACATGGGTATTCTTAACTCTAAGAACATTGTACGATATTTTATCAAACGATTTCACAACTGAGAGTGATATCGGCCATTTTGTGGATGGTCTGATCAGTACTTTTGCATCGAGAAATCTTTTGGGTTAATTGTCTACCTTACACTCTTAGTTGGTGGGCAGGTGACAGACTGATCTAGATTCAGATGTTCGAAGTTAATTTCATTTCTGCCATCAGATAGGTGGAGGAGCAGGTTTGCAGCGTTAGGGTTGTTTTCGTTGTTGTTATTGGAGGTCCGTGTGCACGTCCACATGAAGTAGGAGCTTTTCGAATGAATCCGCCCAGTCACATAGATAGCATTTGCACATTAATTGGGAACGTATGACTGACTCTGTTTACCGTCCTTATATCGTTCACCTTGAAAACAAACTCCAAGCTCAGTTATATTAGACATGGATCATACATGAAAGGAAATTCCAGCACAATGTGTTAGTGCATCACAGTCGGATACTTAAAAATGTGAATGGTTACATTATAACACAGGGATAAATAGAAGTGACCAGAAGTGTATAATAGTTGTGGATTGGATAATAGCCGAAAGGAAGAATGGGATAGTTAATATATTCAACGGTTTTTTGATTTGTATACTGCTAACAGTATTGTCACGAACAGCATACGAAAGTGTCTCTTCCTTCTACTGAGAGCAACTCATTATCATAGCACATTCATGTAGAGGTATGTTTTATTTAGTTGTGTTCAGTTAACTGAATTAATATCACGAACATCACCATCACCATCTCTTTTGCTACTCATGCAACCACATTGGTCTCAATCAGGTGTGTTTCCATCAGGCTCGATCACGGCTATTTGTGTGATCTCTTTTAATCCGTCAAGAGTTTAATGCTTATTTAGATAGTTTAAATAACATCCTTTTTTGATACACTCCCAGCACAGTTGAGGCTCAAGTGATATTTTAGTTTATACGAAAATTAACTTCATACGTTATCTGGGACTAATCTCGGCTTCGGACCGGATGCGGAATTCTCAATGATTACTTAAGTTCAAAGTGGATGATATAATTGTATAGTAATTGTGATGACAATTGTTAGGTCATCCGATCGTTGGTGTATGTGGGGGTGGGCCAGGGGAGCTTTAGCATCTGCACTGTGGCCAGCATACGGCATCCAACCTGCCTTGCTGGTCGACCACTAACCCATTAAAGGGGACGGAATGCCCCAGTCACATTCACAGAGTGATTACTTTCAACCAGATGTGAAACCACTACACTAGTGAGTGACTTAATCATTCCTGTATTTAGTCATACTGGGTAGTATTCACGGATTCGTTCGGACAAACGCCTGACCGTGTGGTCTATGAACGTTGTTCCACAGGAACAACAATAACAACAAGACGTAAATGAATCATTTGTTTACTTCTGTATGCATTATTATCTGTACTAACATCTGTGGCGGTAAATATATTTTTTCAAATGGGAATTCATCGTGTATATAGCAAACGAAGCGTGAACTGAAAAGCNACTGGACAGCTGTTTCGACCTGGTTGAGTCTAATCAGCAGTGCGAATCCATCGTCCCTACTGGGGATCGAACCCGGGACTTCATGGGCAGAACGCAAGCGTGCTACCCACTACGCCACCGAGCAGCTAATCAGACCGTTTTTCATTTTCCTCTTACACGATATAGCACAAACACCCTTGAAAGTTTGTTGCGGGCCACGGACCCTGCTCAACTCAGCACTAGCCTCCGGGGTTGTGACTCGGTTGGAAACATTCACAACCTGACTGATTCACACTGCTGACGAGACCCAACCAGGTCGAAACAGCTGTCCAGTGCTTCCGAGCTTTTCAGTTAACGCTTCATTTGCTATATACACGACGAATTCCCATTTGAAATTTAACCAAATTCTCCATTACTCACATGAAATATATTTTTATGGTTCTGCTGAAATAAAACTGTTAGCAATCTTAATGAAGCATTTGATTTTCCAGTTACCTGGACCCAAAAATGTGGCACGTTCGGTTGGCTCGGGATAATCTCCGGGTAAGTCACAAAACACAAAACGTTTCCCGCATTTCGTTGGCGTTGTTTTTGAATTTCAATATCAACAGATGAGACATATTAATCCATCAAGCCCCGGATGATATCCAAAAGACCCAGTAACCCTTTAACAGGATACAATAAACAAAATTTGACAGTCAAAAAGGTCCGAGGTATCATCACGCTTGGAGAAAGTAAAACATTACGTTTTCAATCTTGGCGAGTTGTGTTTCCTCCGATATCTGCGAATGCATGTGTAACAACCTATCTCGCAATACAATGATCTACGCTTATGAGACCTGATTTTTTCTCATCTCGACTGCCCCAGAGCCTTTTATATTTGATCGTTACTGTGCTTGTTAGGCGGCAGTTTCGGGTTGAGATCGAGGTGAGCTGACCTTCATTGCATTCAAACATTTGAAACAAGCCAAAGACCTCATCGTACTAAAGGACCTGAACGTGTATATCAAGTTCCATACGAAACTGGCGTTGGCCAATACTCATTCATTTCCTGGTTTTTTGTGTTGATAAATCAAACTACCCGAAACAGTACTGGACTATTCTGCAACGGAATCGTATACATATTTCTAACGTTTCACGTCGTCAAGCTCTCAACGAACGTGATACTGTGTGTAACCATCAAATGAATTTAGATAGAAGCTTGGTGATTTAAGCGCGTGTTCTCGGGAAATTTTCGGTGGATGAAAGAGAGACATTTCAGGATTACGTTCAATCGATTGTGCAAAAACAAGTGGAACGTAAGCATGCCCTTCTTATGAAACGCCTGAATTCCCCAAAACCGATGAGTGAGTTCGCAACGAATCCAGATAGATTTGTCCATAATGTTTCTAGTGTAACCGTAGACAAAAAGTTGATAGAATTATTATCCTTGGGGCCAAAGTTTTGCTGCTCGGGGAGAAAATTCAGGCAATTAGATAAGAAGGTTGAGTTTGAAGATCTTTGTGCTGAGTTAGCAGGCTTGTGTCTTTCATCTCGTTTGGAAGCGGAACAGCGAAACACTTTTTATCAATGTCAGAGTGCCAAATAATTGACCAATGGATTAATAACGGACCAACATCTAAAAAGCTAAGAGAGTTACAATGGAGCAAGGAAGTTATCATCACGAAAGCGGACAAGGGATCTGGCATCGTCTTAATAAATCAGATTACGTCGGGAAGGTAGCGACAATTCTTAATGATGAATCGAAGTTCACAAAAATGGCCCACGAGAATGACAAGATACCCCAAATAGAGAAGGCCCTTTCTACCACATTACGAAAACTTAAACAACAGGGCTCTATAGACACCACCACTTTTGAACGGATTCGACCAACAGGGACTACGATTCCACGTTTGTATGGGCTGCCCAAAGTACATACGAGTGGAGTTCCCTTCAAGCCAATCTTGGACATATGCAACTCTCCCTACCATGCGGTAGCCAAATGGTTGGCTCGTCTTCTGGAACCGGTGAGGATGGCATTAATCCAGCATAGCCTCAAGGATACAACCGGTCTCCTTGACGTCTTGAGTGGCTTAAACATCAAAGATCGCCAAATGTTTTCGCTAGATGTCACATCTCTGTTCACGAATGTTTCGATCGGCGAAACAATTGATTATTTGTGTATCTGTATCGAAAGTAACAGGATTGACGTAGGCCTATTTAACAATGATTCGATTGTTAAATCGCCTTGATAAAGGTTACCCACGGTAACCGAAACGTCGGCTTATTTTCATCTGGACCGACATCGCTGTGTTTTCAAAATGACAACTTATATAAAATCTCATACTTTATTTGGTCAATAGAGTTGGGAAATTTTTCACGAAGGACATGCCGATTGGAGAACTCCTGTTGAAAAGAAGTCTGTGTACATTTCTTTACCATTTAAAGGTAACACCTTGGCAGAGATTGTGCATAGAAGGTTTTCAAATGCCATCAACAAAGCGGCTAAGCTTCAAACTCGATTCACATCTAGCCCGCTGGTGTATCTACGGTTGAAGGATAGAGAGCCCGATTCTGCCACCTCTTTCTGTATTTACTCTTTCACTTGTTCCTGTGGAGCAAAGTATGTTGGCCGCACGACCAGGCGTCTGTCCGAGCGCATCCGTGAGCATCACCTGCGTGGTTGCGAAGTGGAGCAATTAAGTCAATCACAAGTGCCGTCGTGTCGCACCTTGTTGACACTAATCACATTGTAAACGTGACCGAAGCGTTTCAACTCCTGTATAGAGTTAAGACGAGACGGTTTAGACACGTGCGGTTTCGCATTCTATCCATAGCGGAGGCAGTTTCCATCCGTCTTCACAACCCCCCTCTGTGTGCTCAGAAACAATTTGTGCAAGCACTCAAGCTCCCATGGCCGGATTGCCGACAAGTGAAACATCGGAGCAAGTGATAATTGGGGACTAATTATGAAACAAACTCTTGAATATGTCAATTACTTTCCCTCACCTTTTTCCTTGTAAATCCTTCTCTGGTACTAGTCATATTTATTGTGTTGTAATGGCATGATTAAGACACTGAAAACGAGCTTGTTTGCCGATTATTTTTCGGTTGAACCGTTGTTTATGGATCGTGACATCGCTCTCTCCTTTCCTCTATCTTCGTCGCTATGTCTCTCCGTCATCCACCGAAATGCGTTCAGCCCTCAATGATCGAGCGTGTGAAAGGAGTGTGGAACCGCCTATTCAACTACGTGTTCGGTCAGGTCAAACTTCAAACATTCTATCATGTGAAAGAGATATTCCATCATCCGCGTTATGTACCCGGTTAGTGACACGTATTATCATTACGATCGGCATCAAAAGTTTGTGAATATTGACTCCATTACATGACCACATTGTCTCGTCCTTCTATGTCTATCCGATGTACTCCCCCCACACACGCACACACACAGTCTGCAAGAGCGTTGGTTTGATAGACCTGAAACTATCAGACAGCGCACAAGCACCCGATTTCATGCAGCACTACACACGTACATCAAACAGCATGCTACCAATGCAACAAGTCATTTCGTGTGCGTTAAAACTCGCTACGTGGACTATCTGATCCACGATACAAGGTGTGACGCAACGAATAACATGTCAGATGATGATGGGTGAGCTTGGAATAGTCATACGACCGTTCGTATTATCATATAGTCACTTGTGTTGATGGGCTCTTTGATCGATGTGCAGCCTTGGATGGGTGTTTACCAATAAAACAGCGTTCGATCAGGCCAGTATGCACGATTTCGTTCTGCAGATCGTCGATACTAGGGATGCCTGCGTGGTTCTTTATATAAATTTCCATTAAATTAGTGCGATTAACTATCAATATTAATTTTGGTTTTAAGCGAATTTCTCATCGGCTTCATGGACAAATCTTGGTCACATGGTACAAATTGGCTTCCGCACTACCGCTCAGCCGTTTTCTGGACGATGTACTCATCATAAACAGGAGCTACCTAAAGGGAAAGAGGGTAAGGGTCGTGGCCTCATCTGTTGGCAAGTCCGATTAGCACCGGTCATGATGCCTTTTAATAGGCTTTTTTTAACAGGCATTGCATCCGACCGTCCGCGACCGCTTATTCAGTAAAATGATTTCTACCCGTTCACGGTTAAATAATCTACCTCCTACCAAAGATGTGCACATGGTGGCCTAACTGAAGGTGTCAAGGAAAACATCACTTTCGATCTGTTTGATGCAATACGAGTTGTATATATAGATTATGGTTATTTTGTCTCAGAAAAGATGGTATTTGTCAAAATTAAGTGTATTTCTTTCGCAAACAATTCGTGATAAAAATATCGAAATCGATCATGATGAAAGGGCCATTTCATTGAGTGAGGTAAAGGGAAATAAACCTTTTTGAGCAAATGGTTGTGAGTGTTTGTGAAAACATCAAACTGTTTCAATGCAAATTTTGCTTCAGTTGGAGGTTGTGACTCATGAGCCCCGTTTTCTTGGATTCCGATCCTAAGTCAAAGTTTTATTATGGGAAATGCTTAAAATCTTGAAACATTGGGTCCCCTTTATCCAATTCGTTAGAACAGAGAGAAGACAAATACTGCGAGATGTTAACATTTCTTTTAATCTCTCCAATCGCTACAACGTAAAACAATCTGTTATTTATAGAAGCAAGTTTTTGATAACTAAGTTTTACGTTGTAGCGACTGAAGAAATTAAAAGGAATGTTAACATCTCGCAGTATTTGTCTTCTCTCTGTTCTAATGAAATGCTTAAAAGCTCATGCTTCTCTTGTCCCCATAGAATATTTACACAGTTGAATTGCTTCACGGCGAAAACAAACTCGCAAAATGTTCCAGGTAAGAGATAAAAGAGAATTAAGCTTCAATGAACGTGCGTTTGCTTTTAGTGGTGTAGAAATGTGCGGTGTACCAAGGTTTCATCAAGTCTCCGCTTGAAAGATTCAATAGTTGGGGCACAAACGACGTGAGATGCAAGTGTGTTCCAAGAACTGCATACTCTGACTGCAAAAGATTTTCGCTGACATTCCAGTCGACACTTTGGAATCAGTAACTAAGGTGTAAATTGTTCGAGAACATTAGCAGCGGCCGACATGGATGGTTTGGGTTCTGCAGTATATGATACGTCAAAAGCAAGTTTACCCAAATTCGACAGTGCTGAGCAGAATATAGTCCCAATGATCGTAATCTCTCCTCATAGGTGAGGTAGTGCAATCGCTTGACCATCTTGGTGGCCGTCCTTTGTGGGCATCTTGTCATCACGTTGCAACAATGGACTCCAAGCTTGGGTGGCGTACTGTGTACAGTCGAATGTACACTGATAGCAAACGTGGGAACACTGCTGATTCAAACCGGTCAAAGACTCGGCTGTCTTTACAGCAGCGTACGAAGCCTTAGCGCAGTTGATAGAGCAGCTAAAATCCTCTTGAACAACAATGCCTAAGTTCTTTTCATTTGCAGTATGTGGTAGCTGCTTATTTCCGAGGAAATACGAGAATCGTCTCTTGTGGTGTAGGGATAAGACTTTGCATTTAGAATTCAATGTCATTCTGCTTAGATCATTGATAAGCTGCGTTAAATGATTCTTGAACTGTTAGAAAGACTCCGGGTTATATTACTGTATTCCAGCTTTTGGCGTCGTCTGCAAGTAATATTGTTTTTGGACCTAGCACTTTCGGTGGATCATTTATGAATATGAGGAACAGACGGGGACTGAGTACGGACCCTTGCGGAATACCGCGGGTGGCGTGGATGGATCCGGATATGGAATCAAAAACACGAACTAGTATGGTCCGTTGTTGGAGGAATGCTCTAACCCAATCAAACACGAAATATAGGATGCCGTAATTGTAGAGCTTCTGTAACGAAATTTGGTGATTCACCAAATCAAATGATTTCGAGAAGTCGGGATAAATCACATCTATGGCATTTTCTTCGTCAACTATTTTAGTCCATTCATCTAGAACAAAAAGCAGGTTGGTGGAGCAGGATCGCTTTCGCCTGAACCCGTGTTGAGCTGTCGAAAGAATGTTGGATCTTTCGAGATGTTCCATCAGAGAATCTGCAAAAATTGACTCCTTGATTTTCGATAACACGGAAGCAGGGTTACACGTCGGTAGTTAGCGGGGTCCCTACGACAACCACTTTTGTATATGCGCGAAATAACTCCTTGTTTCCACGATTGTGGGAGTGTTGCTTGATCGAACATTCGTTGGAGCAGACTGCTTAGCGATTCGGAAAAGTCATTCGTCAAAAAGATCAAGGACTTTGGGTGTATATTGTCAGCATGTGAGGTTGCATTTGTTCGCAAAGTCATGAGTTTTGCTTTGACGTTTTCAGCAGTAAATGGCCAGCGAAGGACATGGAAGGTGATGCAACCGAGGAGGAGGCTGTAGACTTTCAACCTGCGGTGCAGCAAAAAAGGTCGGAATACTAAGTTTTTAGCATTTCAGCTGCTTCCGTTGGAGTGACTGCAACTCTTCCAGCGCTGCTCAGTGCCGGTATACCAAATTTTATCTTCCGAATGGTGTTAACATGCTCATACAACAGCTTAGGGTTAAAAATGAATCTATGAACCAGCGCCTCTTGTTATTTCAGTTTAGCCTTACGAATCAGCCTGATGCAGTGGTTCCTCAGCATATGAGAATTCCACGTGACAACATTCGGAAGACGTTTATAATTTCGCCAGGATAGATCCATCAGAGATAGTCTTTTCCTTATGCTGCTTCGAATAGGCAGATTTCGGATGCTGGATTTGATGACTACTCTAGTCTTAGTCACTCATGTCATTAGGATTGTGACTGTCGGACTGTCGGACTGATGCTGCATTCGTTCCATCTATAACCTATCAGGAAAGATTCTTTTTCGACAGAAACACTTTTTGAGAAGGTAACTAGAAAGAAGATCGTCCTCCAAGTCCTTTTCATCTTTCATAGTTACCCGGAGTAGTCTAGGCTCCCTGGCATGTGGCCACGTCGGATGGCGCATAAGTTTTATGAGGCCCACAGGTAGAACATTAATATCCATCTCCTTGTCGTTCTCTCAGCGGTTGTGTTGTCGGTTCAAGTATATTTGTGCAGATAAGCGTCAAGGAGGTATTGCTCCCATCTCTCTCCCCCCGACTATTGTCTCACACAGGTACCCTCGAGTACGATTTGGCCTTACTCCAATTAAAGGAAGAACCGGTTTTGCGAAAGATCAAGAACATTGGCCTGATCGCTTTGCCGGATAGATCTGTCGGCAGTATTTGGCCACATACAAATCAGGTAAGTGAAGTATATAGAAAAATCTCCTCATATGATTTGAGAGACTGGGTTCGTTCACACCATGTTTCTTATTGTCTTAAGGAGTCGAAATCAAACTCCTTTCGGTGTTCCTCAACAAATAAAAAGTTATTACTAATAGCCAAAACACTTTCCTGATCGAGCACGCAGCCAGCGAAGCATATCCTGGAACGGACAAACATCTGGTGGTCTTCATAACCTGTGGAACTGGGGATTTTACTGTAGATGACAACGAAACGCAGTGGGGCGATGTGTGAAAACCGTAATCCATTGGAGAAGGGGTTCAGTTCATCGGATCATACGCCCTTCGGACGGGGTCAAACGTCCAAAATGCCCAATACACCTCGATACCAAATTGAGCCGGTGACCACTGCTACAACCGGGAGGGAGTGTATGTGGTTGGTTTGGAATCAGGGTTTTTGGCCAACTCTCCTAGGTGAACTACCAGTTGGTCCATCAACCCGGTTATAGCCCCGGCTATCGGCTTTTCGTCCTCTCACTTTGGTGGGAAAACACCTCCGCCATGAGAAGGCAGTAAGCACAGCTTCCTCAGCAGAGGCTATTGGAGACTCTTGGTCTAATGGGAGCATTTCGCGAGGTGCAGGGGAAGGGCGACGGTGGCCCGGTGGTAAAGTCACCAAATTATCACCCCGGGGATGTGTTCGAGTCCCGCCACCACCGCTTGACTTTCCCCATTGTGTGTTAAATGGCAGCTTTTTGATAGGCCGCTTCCCCCTTCCTGAAAATTGTATCCTTTTAAGTGAGTAATGGAGAATTTGATTCAATTTCAAAGGTTTATTCATCGTGTATGTAGCAAATGAAGCGTAAACTAAAAAGCTAAGANAACACTGGATAATTGTTTCGACCTGGTTGAGTCTAATCAGCAGTGCGAATCCATCGACCCAACTGGGGATCGAACGCAGGACCTCATGGGCAGAACGCAAGCATACTACCCACTCGGCCAACGAACAGCTGATAAGACCGTTTTCCATTTTCGTCTTACACGATATAACACAACCCATCTTTGCGAGCTTATTGTGGGTCACAGACACTTCTCTTCTCAGCACTAGCCTTCAAGGTTATGACATGAGAGGTGTCTGTGACCCACAATAAGTTCGCAAAGATGGGTTGTGCTATATCGTGTAAGACGAAAATGGAAAACGGTCTTATCAGCTGTTCGTTGGCCGAGTGGGTAGTATGCTTGCGTTCTGCCAATGAGATCCTGCGTTCGATCCCCAGTTGGGTCGATGGATTCGCACTGCTGATTAAACTCAACCAGGTCGAAACAATTATCCAGTGTTTCTTAGCTTTTTAGTTTACGCTTCACTTGCTACATACACGACGAATTGACCTTAGAAATTGTATTCTTGTATATTAAATAAAAGGAAGTAAAAATGAAAAGCAAAAAAGGAGTGACCAGCCGCAATCTTATACACCCACCCCCGACCATATTGAGGCTTTCTGAGGCGTTTCTATTATAAGTGATTTGAATTAGAGAGAACCCTAGGTGATTGATTCTCTTACATCATTGTTTGGTTCGAATTCAGGGTTTCAATCAACAACGGTAGTTTACTATCGTCTAGAATGAGCTTGAATAGGTATAGGTCGCAAAGTGCTGATGATAAAACGGTTTGATTTGCTGTCACTGGTGTGCTTCGGGTCGTAAAGATCAAGGATCGATTCTTGCCACTACCTTTTAAATTTGGTGACAGGCAGCTACTTTAGCTGGCATTTAACCGGATGTTACATTTGTTTTGCCTTTTTGCCTTTTTCCGCTCTATTTCCGAGGCTTGCATTGGGCAATAAACAACAGTTTCTCGCGCCTTGGGAATGAATCTCTCCTACTGTACATCACACAATGGCATGGAACAAAGGAGGGTTCCAAGTGAACACAATAGATGGATACTGGTTAGATGGAAGTTTCTCAGCTGGTTGACCAGACAACCAGCAATGTGGAAAGCAAATTCTATATATGTTTATGGACCTTCGAGAGTTTATAGATTGACTGCTGATAACTTGTAATGCAGGGAAATCAGGATGAGTTGTTTCATTTGTGCTGTATCGAAAATAAGCAGTGGACGATTCATTCCATTGATTTGAGCGTCCCAATTTCACCCAACCAATCATAGAGTAAAAAAGCCCTTAACTCAGATTTCGCTTTCGTTAAATGCCTATTAAAAATATTCTGCTTAACAGGTATACCTAAGAAAGACAGGTTGTGTTCGAAGGTTTTCAACTGAATTCTATTGTTAGAATAATACAATATCCGGCGCAAAGACATTTTTGAAGGTGACATCTGAACGGACCGGAATTGTATTGTACTGTATTGTTAAAACTTCTGCAAGCATGAAGCCCACATTTCAGTTAAAAATATACAGTTTGGATCAAGGGGGAAAATAAAATAACAATGAAAAAAAAGATTTAAATCCCAAAACTGTTAAATGTTAACGAAGTCTGTGAAGACCTGTTCTTTGTTAACAAGAATACGTGCTGAGGAAGATACTGTGGAGTTACGATAATTGTTTATTCTAGAGGGAACACAAAGATATCCTGATCTAGTTAAGGGATTGGAACAACAAGAAGTTAGGTCAGCGTGTAGCGGATGTGTGGAGTCGATGAGAGTCTTATGCGCAAACTTTTCACATGCATTCAAATGAAGTTCGCATAGGTTAGTTATCAACTCCATTAATGGGATTGAAGAGACACGGCTAATGATGGTCAATCCACGTCGAAGCAAATTAAAATCTTTCTTAAGAAGGTTGGGAAAAATAACAGGTGAACAATAAATTAAAACAGGAAAAACACACTGATACACAGAGTTGTAAATAACTGATTGTTGAATACGAAACTGACGAAGTTTACGGATATGAAAAGAAAGTCGTCGAAGCTTACTGACGATGTGTTGAATGTGAGAGGTCCAGTGAATATTAGTATGAATGAAAACGCCCGGGTATTTAATACAGTTTACCCAGGATAATGGTTCGGAGCCAATCGATACCGGTTTACTAGGGACAGAAGAGCGTGATAATGTAAAGAGACATTCGAAACATTTGAAGGGATTAAGAGATGGGCCCGATGTGGCGGAAAGCCGTTGGACGTTATCCAAGTTGTCAGAAAATTGTGGAAAACCAAAAGAGTCAGAGATGGCCTGACACAAGACCACATCGTCAGCATACTTGAAGAGAGATGTAAGGGCGCGAGCAGACAAGTCACTAATATACGTAGAAAATACGGATGGAGAAAGAACCGCACCCTGGAGTACTCCAGAGCTGTTCAACAACGGTTTGGATTTCTTCCGACCTAACCTGGTACACAGAGTTCTCCCGGAGAAGTAATCGGCAAGCCAAGCTAATGACTGTCTAGTGTTTCAGTGAATAAGTTGACTGCGTTGCGTGAAGAAAGATAAGAAGAAAACCGCAAAGAAACGACAACACTGGAATGCTTAAGAAGAAGGGTGTTTCTTGGGGAGAGATTGCGAAGACGAATGGTGATTTGATTGGTTCTTGTGAGTGTATTTTGAATGGGACGGAAGTAGACTGTGGGTTTTATGAGAATGAGTGCATGATCACTAGTGGAAGTAGGTGCGGTGAGTTTTAGGACAAAATGTTCTGAGTGATGAGTAATAAACTTGTCAAAAAATGAATCACCTCTTGTGGGGGCCAAGCAAATATCAGTTAAGCCAAAAGAAGTTATGGGATAGGTGGATGCATGATTAAAGTCACCAACAATGATGTGGAGACTATCGTCTATGAGGGGAACGAAAGGTGGAATAAATGCATCAAAGAAAGGCGAAATGTGAGACTGGGCACAAAAGGGGGCTATGTATAAGTGGGTAATGATTGTACTTCTGTATCGCGAAAATCTAGGGAAACACTGAACAGCTAAGCAGTCGATGCCATCGGCGGAATAATCAAAAGGAAGTTCAGACTTGCCGCTCCAGGTTGAGTTGATGTACGTGATCTCTCCACCTCCTGTTTTCTTATAGTGCTTCCTATCCTTATGGAAGCATTTAAAACCATTGATTCCAATTAATGAGTCCTCGATATTATGGTCAAGCCAGGATTCTTGGATACAAACAAAACACGTGTTACAGTGGATGCGTGAATCAAGATGACTGATCTAACGCCCTTGTGTTTCTTCATTTTAGTAGGAATGCGAAAATGAGCTGACGGGGACACAAAAGGCACAGTATTGAGGCGTTCATGTTTGGAACTCGTTAACTGAGACCGCGAATAGACCTTCCGAGTGATCATTATGTGGTATTCACGAAAACAAAATAATTCCGAGAGGGAGAAAATGTAGCACAGCCAATCGAAAGGCGCGTTAACGACAAATTATGATCAGCCCCAATGTGAGCAGATTGGTAAAGTGGATGGAATATTTATGTTCTACCTGCGAGATTCCAAGTGAATTCCTTAGTTAAGTCGAAGCCGACAAAAACAAAACATGGATTCAGTGTTCGCTATCTCTGTCGTTCATTTTTACTTTCGGGTACATACGAAAAATCACGTCCTATGAAAAGAGATAGCAAAACTGACTGTTCATCTAGTATTATCACGACAATTCCGCAATCGATTTCATTCTATGCTGTAGACTTGTCTGTCGGTCGGTTGGGGATGTAGCTTTGCGGATGGGCCACCAACGATGAGGATCCAATCCGTGGAATTGCCTGTGCTGGATCCGGAAACTTGTCGCAATATGTATTCGGCTTACATCAATCTGACGACTTCACACGAGTTCTGCGCTGGTTACCATATGGGCAACAAAGGTATCTGTCCAGTAAGTGTCCATTTTTCCCGATTGTTTTTATTAAATATGCATGCGAATTTTCTGTTTAGTGAGTTTTACAGAAAATTTCAAGTTTCGCTGGAGAAAAATCTAGTGCACATTTTCGGAGCACATTTTTTTTAAAGTTACATAATCTTGTGCCTTGGACGGCCAATGGAATGAAACCACTGTGGCACAGATACCCAGATTTTTCTAATGAACACCTTAAGTCGTGACCCACGTATCAATTTTGCTGTCTTTGTTGGTTTATACCCATGGTATGTTGTTGCTTGCCTCATACTGTGGTCTCCAAGATCATGAAGAAAAATCTTAAGATTTTGTGGTCGAAATATAGAATGTCAGGTGATGACAGAAAATCAGTGATTGCGGGCATCTTCCTTCAGAATAAGATCCTAGTTTAATGTTGGAATAGAAAGCGATTCTAAGTTTTACCTTAAAGAGATATTTGGGGTTTATATGCGATGGAAATATTTATAATAACCAACAAAGAGCACTAGACAGCTGTTTCGTCCTGTTTGGGACTCATCAACGGTGAGTACTTTTGTATCCCCGTCAGGACTCCAACTGCTAATCCAAGCTTGCTACTCCAAGATATTTTGGGTCTTTGAAAAACACTCAAGTTTACCAATTCGTCTATGGATTCAGCTTATAAAATCCCTTAGAAATGAAGCTTTTCGGTCAAGCGTAATGGTGAAGGCACCGAGAAATCCAAACTATATAGACACTTACCGGCATACGTGCGTTAGAAAAATATAGGCTAGCGTGAAGAATAAAATGGAGAAAAACTAAACACAACAGAACGCCCAACAGTAAACCTGAGACGAAATCACGGAAAACACTCGTTCAAAAAGCTCTGTATTCCCAACAGAGACTTCATCTGGTCTCTTCCTGTTCCGTTGTTCACCCGAATTACAAGGGTGCAGTAGGAGCAAAGCGTACAGAGGTTTAAGCGGTATCTTCTTAAAGGTTAAAAATCCCACTAACGCCATTGATTTCATCATAATTGAATCAATCAAAACATTTATGTTTCTGCAGTACACTTTTTTTCTCAAGTATCTGAGATGCTCTCCAAACCCAAATACAAATGTATGTACCTTCATTCTTCCCTGTTTCACAACATAAATCTTCTATTAGACTGAATACAAATAAAAAGTTTTTCTTTATGGAGTTATAATGAAAATGCACGGTTACGTTTGTGGGCCACCACGATCACGAGTTGGTCTCGTGTACACATGTATTTGGTCACTTGAAATTGGACAAAATCGCGTCACGTACGTTGTGGAAACAGAATTGATCGTGACTGAGATCAAGCATTTCGAATTTGACGGATTAGAAAGTATATTAGCGATGACTTATCTGAATAGACAACACTTCACAAGCTAATTGGATTAGCATGGTAAGAAAAATTATGGTCTATAAGAGAGAACAATAATAATGATGAGTTGGAAAAATTTTACTTTTGTTCTAGCTTTTAGAATGGAACGACCAACAGAAGCATAAATTTTCATCGAACTCGTACGAAATGACCCTGAACCAGGAAATTAACTTCAATGTACAACTTGCATAACGGTAGCCATGGGTAAAGAGAATTTATTATCAATATTTGTCCCAACGCAATATTCTTAATTCTCTATTTTCTCTAGTTAAATAGACACCACCTTGAAAGTCATGATAGAAGTGATAGTAATTGGAAAGTTAGGGCTCGTTATTAGAAAATATTCGGGGCAGAGCAACCTGAAAGTTCATCCTGTTGGGTGAGGATGTTGTTCTGCTCAATCTGAGTATTATTAGTGGCATATTTTTATACGGTAAAAATCATTGTACCGATAAATGATATTCTAACTCAATTGAAACATTATGTGGCTTTAAACTGCTCATGTAAAATCTCTTGCTATGAAGAGTAAATATTTGTTCTCAGAAACGTGAAGATTGACCTACAAAGCTCAAACTTTAGGTGTACGACTTGTTTAGTAAGCGTTTTTCAATGTTATCAAGAGTTTCAGTAAACAGATAAACATGTTAAGTAACGTATTAAAGGTCCACATAGATCCGGTTTCTCAGAACCTGGTTTGTACCATTATCTCGATGTAAACATGAGGACAATGCATAGCGTAAGTAGGGGAATTTTCACAAAGAAGGCAATGCGCCCAAAGAAAACTAACCACATTACACAAGCCTGGTGGTCGACGAGTAATACATGGCGTGGAGACGGGTCGTCTAGGGACCTAGAACTAAAAATTAATCAGTCACAAAAAGTAACTTTCTGCCCCACCCAACTCTTTGGGTGGCAGTTGAATGCGGAGTACCTTTTCGTCAGGCTCCTGTACACGGCACCCTGGATAGTGACTACCGCACTCGCAAGGCATTCCAAAAAACCGTCATTTTCCAAGATTCTGCTGCTCATCGTGTTTCACGAGAGGTTTGCCAAAGCATCCATTTAAGCCTCGGCATATATTGTTTTCCCATCACTACGAGACTACACATTGATGTGGTGTGATGGCTTGTGCACCTCTGTGACCCAACGAGCTACACAGAATGGCTTTATAAAGCCAGGAGATCTTATCATCCCTGGAAGGTCATTGGGTAGAGGTCAGACGAAGTTCAGTCTCCTGGTCCTCCAGGTTGGGGATTCGCCTGGAATTTGGCGTTTCAGTCGATAAAAAGCGGTCGAGGAGTAATTGATCCAAGTATATGAGCCTCCACNGCTGCCTTGCGGTTAGGTTCTTGTTAGAACTAAAGGAAGTGGGCGAGAACCCTAATCGTTCTCCTGCTTAGTGGCTGGACACCCTAGCAGTACCCGTCCACCAAACCCCAATGCGTACACAAAATAAAAATAATTTCATACTGCATCGGTCGTCGCGCGGGATAATCAGGACCGCGCTGCCCATTGCATCGAGCGGGGCGGGTAGTGATAAGTGGGGTACTGCTTAGATATCCCAACCTTTGTTTAACTCTTTGTCTTCCGTTCCCAACC